TATATATATATATATATATATATATATATATATATATATATATATATATATAATATACCCCTAAGAATTAGGGATAAATGTGGCCCTTATAGGTAATTCTGGAATGTTCTGCACTGTCCCTTTTGAAAAATAAACCTCATAATCAAATAGCCGAAATGTTTTAACTTGAAAGAAGCAAATAAAACAATAAATTAATGAGCGTGTCCTTTTTATTAATTATGAAAAAAAACGCGACGTATGCATTTATTACATTATAGATATAATAGTCTTTAAATCTCATCGCGTTACGTCGGCTTTTAGCGTTGCGGAACAGCTTGGCTCTTTGCAGCCACCGTAGTTTACGATTTAAGTTTTTTTTTAAGTGATAATATTCCATGATGATTAAAGATCTTATATAAAGAAGTTTGATCTCTTCAATACGCTAAATAAAATATTAAATATCTATGAATCTAGTAACCCCGTCGCAGTCTGACGTTGGAAATGTTTGATATCTACGAACTGGGGTCAGAGTTCACCATGTACTGATGATGTCATCGTCTGAAGATGGCTGAAGGGTGAGGGAGAAGTCACTAAATAACTCTTATTTTTCACTTTACCACATGTTTTAGCGGTAGGAAATTACAACCGACATGTTTATTGTTGGTTTATGTGTCTAATGGTAATTCACATCGGCTATTAGTTGTCACTGTGACGATCTGCAGCCTTTGGACTGAGTTCAGGAAGTGGATTTGTTTACCAAAACATAGCAGTGTTAGCTTTAGCTTCGGCTGGTTAGCTCTGCATTAAAACTCTTTAAGTCTCGGAGATAAAACTTTCACACTGCACATAGTCGGAGCTCTGGTCATAATTATTGACCTCCACTCGTTTATGTTCGGAAAAAAACGCCGTTTTCGTTTTTTAACCTTATATTTTACTAATAGCAGACGCTAGTATATCTAGTCGGTTCAGTGTTTGTCAAACAGAAACATGGCAAATAGCTGCCTCAAGGCCGTTCAAACATAACACACTGTTTGTATTAAAACTTTCCATGCTTTTATCTGTTTCCCGTAGAGAAGGCTGGTGGGGAGGCTGGTTCCAGCAGAGCTTCCAGGCCGTGAAAGACAAGGTACCCTTTTATTTAAATTATACTTTCTATTAAAGCCTAAATCGACGTTGTGGCTTTTATCTCATGTATTTGCTCTTCCTTGCCCTGTTTGCTGTATTTAATCCTGCTGCCATGCAGTTATGCATTTCCTCTTGTCTATCTAAATAAAACGTGTTGCTTGACTTGGGGTGTTAAATTCAGCTTAATTAAAAGCAGAATTCACAACATACTCGAGGGGGATTCTGATACAGGAAATCAGGTAAAATATGCTACATTATAAATTTGATAGGAAAGTAAAAATATCCAAACACTTAGTAAGAACTGTGTTGATTTTTATCAACAATGATTTATAAAAAAATAAAAATAAAAATCACAATACTACAAAGAATCAATAGTTTCATTCAATAAATAATTCGGTATAGACAGATCAATAACCAAAAATCCTTCATGACCAATTTATAATTATCTCAAACACAACTCAAAAATCATAATAACTGAAATTATTAATATCCACAAAGGAGTTCCACCTCCTCTGAACTCAAAACAAAAGAAAAACAGAAACAAAAGAAAACAAAAATTGTCACTTGTTTTTAACCTACTACCAAACAAAAACTCCTGCTGCACAGATCTGACTGTGTGCGTCTTCTTTTCCGGTCAAGGCGCGCGTGCCGAAGCATACGCCCCTTTTTATTAACTCATTTTCTCCACACCAAAAAAAGAAGCATTTTAATACCCAACATAATTTTTAACCAGTTGAGATTCGAAATATTATTACCAATGAAATACTAATAACTGTTGTACTAAACACTTTTGTTACCTGTACACTGTACAAGGTACTTCATACAAGAAAATAAATAACAGTGGTAATGTTACAAGGAGATACTAATGTTATTTTGAAAATGTGATAAAATGTTTGCGGAAACCATTGGTTTGATTTTAATAAATGTATGTGGATACTAACAGATACTGAGAGAAGAGTTTCAATTCAGTTTACTTTATTTATATAGCACCAATTCACAACACATGTCATCTCAAGGCACTTTACAGTTCACCAGATCATAGAGTCAAACTGATTCAAAGTTTTATGTCTAAGGGAAACCAGTTGATTGCATCGACTCATTGACTCCTTAGCAATCCCTCACACTAAGCACACTTGTAGTGACAGTGGAGAAGAAAAAACTCCCTTTTAACAGGAAGAAATCTCCAGCGGAACCAGGCTCAGTGTGAGCGGCCATCTGCTGAGGCCGACTGGGGTTTAAGGAGACAAAAACAGACGTACAAAAAGTAACTGTAAAAGTCCAGTAAAAACACAGCCAGGGAGACGAGCTCCGAGCCAGCTCCCATGTCAGAGAATGAACTGATATTAAAGGGATATTAGGAGAAGTTACAGTTCAAAATCCTGAGATTTAGGAATACATAATATTTTTTTCTTTCAAGTTAAACGTGGTAAAAGTTACGACCTAATTAAAAGGTTATTTTGTAATAATGGATCAAATGTTGCAGCTAGTCGGGACAAGCCAGAGAAAAAGGTTGCTGTTTAATGGTTTATTAATTTAAATGTTGTTGTGGACTCATACATTTGCATACGATGATAGAAAAATCTCAAAAGATTGTCATGTCAAAACAACCACTGAACTTGTACATCTCTAACTTAACCCTCAAATGATATTGAGACCATGTGTAAATGCCAATAATTGGGGCTATCACCTGCATTTCAAAATCCTGGCACAAAATGTTGCTGCAAAGGTTTTAATGACGACTTTCTTTACATAGTCCAGTGGAACAAACAAGTTAAGGCATAGTGCTGCACAGAAAGAATAAAAAAATTGATAATGGTCGAAAACTAAAAAGGAAATAAAAGAGGAGATTAACTAAATGATTCATTTATATAAAAAGAAATGCAAGTACTAATGCACTAAGTATGTACATTTTTATATTATGTTGAAATGTGCAAATGTGATTATGTCTTAGTTTAGGCTCCTGTGTCTCTAAGTACCTGCCAGTTAAATAAAATGCAACAGTTCAGTTTTTCCCAGGAATAAATTGATGCAGAAACTCAACAGACAACCTCAGAGTCACTATTGAAGATGGTTTAATGTAGGGATGCACAATATGAACATTTGGGCAGATATCAATAAAAAATGTTCCCCTTATGATCAATACACAACAGTTATTGATATTGTATCCCATATATATATATATATATATATATATATATATATATATATATATATATATATTATATTACTGCCCTTTTGACACCATTGAAAACCAACTACAGTGTTTCTTCGCTTCCATTTAACACCCATAATCCTTTGCTGCACCACTATAACTGCCACATGACTAAACAAACACCACAGGACCAATCCGCTCCCATTTGCCTCTTGAAATAAAAACCAGATGGAAATAACCAGTAATTGTTAAATATCAGCTCAGTTTAACTCAAATGACGGGATTTTTAAAATGACTAATATCATCCCATACCAATTTTTAAAGCCTATATATTCGTATTGCATATATGGATCCCTAGTTTGATGTGTAATTGGGTGTTGGATTTTTTTTATTCAACTTCTTCCAAGTTCATATTCTTTTTATTTTTGGTTTTAAAAATCTGAAAACCTATTATTTAATTGCTGACAGCATAAGAAGAGAGCTTATCTTAAACAGCAACAATCTACTACACTTTACATTGTCTCTCTTCTTTCTTAGTTCCTGTCTTTCTTTTCTCCCTCAGTACTGTGTTACTGCCACTATAATTAGCAAGGATAAAAAAAAGTTTTGGAGTTTGTTGATCTCACTTTCTGCTCCACAGTCATCTGAGGCCTTAGAATTCCTAAAGCGAGACCTGACAGAGTTCTCCACGGTAGTTCAGCATGACACGGCCTGCTCGATCGTGGCTACAGCCAATGCCGTCAAAAACAAACTAGCTGTAAGTCTCCATCTACAGATCTGTCGTTGCAGGCTGACTATATTCCTTTGCTCCAGCTCTAACTTGTGTGTTTTCCTCCAGGTGGAAGGGTCTTCAGAGACCACAGAAAAGGTGAAGAAGAGCCTGTCTGGTTTCTTGGGGGTAATAACAGACACCCTTGCTCCACCTCCTGATAAAACCATCGATTGTGATGTGATCACATTGGTGGCAACGCCAGCAGGAACCACAGAGGTCTATGACAGCTCTAAGGTCAGTATGGAATAGCTGTAAAATCTGCTTAGAAAGAAATACAACAAGTAGTTAAAAACGACTAAATGACATCATTATTAATAAGACGTTCATGCTAACAGTCAAAGCTAAACAAACCTATCACATGGACAGAATTTAGTATCACTTAAGATATGAAAAAATATATCTTGAGTAGGTAGTCATACATTATGCATTGTATTTCACTTTTAACACGAGACAATGTACAAAAAATTTCTTTTTATTGGAAAGTTGTCAAATTCTATTTTATTCTATTCTATTCAGTTCTATTCAAATAACCAGTTTGTTTGAGTTGCAAAGAACTAAGAAGGAAGAGCCACTTTAGTCATTATGTAGTAAATAATGACATTTTATTAAGACGGGAGCGCAGCGAGTGCATATGATATGCAGACACAGAGGTGACAAAATATTAAATAAGCTTTTGAAGTTTTGTTAAAAAATATACAAACTTTGTAAAAGAAACATCTTTGGATCAAAATTATGGATGTAAAACTATAGCCGACTTATGATTAATAGTTAATTAAAGGTTTTTGTAATGAAAATTCCATCCATCCGATTAACCGATTTTTTTTTTTTTTTTTACATTGGGCCCTTGATTTTATGTTATTACATCATGTTCTACTGACCCATTTAAGTTTTGTGTCATTTGGAGCTGTTCTGAAGATATTCCGTTAGGTTATATCCAAGTAACGTCTTCCTATGGGCAACGACTTGAAGGCACAAACTGAATTGCTCATCATTTATTTTTTATGGTACGCCAGCATTCATAACATGTAGGCGAATCACTGTCCCCCAGACATCCACGGTTATATATTTTATATTTATATCTTTTAAAAACAAAGCAGAGTGTGTATGACGTCAACCACAGGCGCCGGCTACCATTCATTCATCCTGCTCCTAGTTTTACTCACATGTCTGGAAGATGTCTAGTGCTACTACAACAGATGATCTCTCTCTCGAAATGGAATTGATCGATTCAGATTAGCGAGCCGAATGAATAGAATTTGTGGATGAGACAACTTTATGTCGTGAGCTTCTGTTGGACAAAAATTAGAATCTATTCAGTTAAAAGTGATGTTGGGACAAAACAGATATGGCAAAGAAGTCTCTCTCTCTTTCTCTTAATTTTATCTCTGTGTTTTTTTTGGTCAATTCCAGTTATAGAACCTGTAGACTCAAAAGGCTAACTTGTAGAGATGGAGTCCAACGGCGCTGACTTACTAGTTAGAACTCGTCATACTTCAGACAAGGCTGCAGGGCTGGAGCGAGTCATATGACTGATAAAAATCAGGGATGCAAGTTGAGCTGTGGTAGAATCTTCCTTTGCTGTGCAGGATTTCAGCGTCATGTGACTTAAGACCTCACTGCAAAAAATGGAAATATAAGTAAGTTTCTTAAAATGGGTGCATTTATCTTAAAATAAGTGCATTTTTGTTGATTTTAGCAGGTAAGTTAGACACTTTGCCAATGGAGTAAGACAATTTCCATTTAAAATAAGAAAAAACAACTGCAGTCTCTTATTTCAAGTGCATAATATCTAATTATCTTATTTTAAGGGTACAAAGGCTCATTCCATTCGCAGATCATCTTAATTTCCTTGTCAAATTAAGGGTGAAAACATTTATTTAAAAAACTGGTTACTCATGGGTGTGCTTTGGTGGCGCAGTGGTTAGCGCACATGACCCATGTATGGAGGTCCTAGTCCTCAACCCAGGCGACCCGGGTTTGAATCTTTTCTGTGGCCCTTTCCTGCATGTCTCTCCCCCATCCTGTCAGCCTACTGTCCATAAAACGATCCATTAGTGCCTTTAAAGAGAAAAAAAACAAACAAAAAAAAGTTGAATCCTTTCCTGAATGTTTTTGCAGTTCTTGTTGGTTCTTTTCTTTAGGTTTGCAGGTTTACTCCTGTAGAAGCAGTATTTCACCTGGTTTTTATCCTGTTTCTCTCTTTGCACACACAGATGCACAAAACATTATGGTGATCCATTTCAGCTAGCAGCTTATAAAAGCAGCTTGTTCTCAGATTTACTGGGCTACTACACTAAAGAAATGATGCTTTTGATGCTCATATTGTTTTCTGTTGGACTTGAAATGTTCCCTCTCCTGGCAACATGTTTGATAGTACTCTCAAGTATATGGATCAATAAAACCCAAAACAAGGAAAAAATGTGAAATCATGCCCGAGTTGATAGGCTGTAACCTGACAGCTGAATTTTAAGACTTCTCTGAACATAAACAGCTGTTGTTTGAGTTTTATATCGAGTTCCTCTGTGAGGATCAAGCTGGTATCTCTGGTTTTAATTCAGTCACACAATATGGACTAACTGTTAAATGTGAACAGATTTATATGGGTGAATAAAACAACCATCATTCATTGATGTTCCCACAGGCACGCCTCTACAGTTTGCAAGCTGACCCAGCGACATACTGCAATGAGCCTGATGGTGAGATGGAGTCGCTGTTTTTAAGAGCCCTGAAACATTGTTGGAGGTTTAATGTGTGAACTGTTCTGGTTGACTTTTAATTTTATATATTTGTGCTAAAGAGGACAAAATGATTATTTTAATCCATTTATGACAAAGTTTGATAACGTAACATTATCATCATTATTTTCATTGCTGCAGGTCCACCTGAGCAGTTTGATTGCTGGCTGTCCACTTTCAGTCTGGAGGAAAAGAAAGGAGAGATATCAGAACTTTTGGTCAACAGCCCGTCCATACGAGCACTTTACACCAAAATGGTATCACCCAGGGTTCTCACAACCTTTTCACCTTCCTGAACTTTGCTTGTCTTGTCTGCTAACGGTAGTTTCTATTCACTCCAGGTTCCTGCTGCGGTATCCCATTCAGAATTCTGGCAGAGGTATTTCTATAAGGTGTTCCAGCTGGACCAGGTAAACCACAATATTCCCTTGCAAATATACAATAAATGCATTAAATGCATAATAAATAATGCATTTTTTCCCCCGTTTATTTTACTTATAGAGCTTGTTAGATTGACCTTTTTTTAGTGTCAGTATTGTCAGTATTTGGTTGCCATCAAAAAGAGGGTGTTGGATGGAAATGGCCAAAACAGAAATGTGATTATTTCTGATTATTTCACACTTTTTATTAATGAGAAGGATGTAGAACAAACATTATGTGGTTCTGTTTGTAAATATTAACCCTCAACAAGTTTCTAAATTTATAGCTTACATAGAGCCCATTTAGCTGCATTGCAGAGCTGATAAACTTCTAAAGCAACAATGAGCTGTGATGACAGAAACATGGAGGACTTTATACAAAGCTTTCTAATATGACAAAAAGAGACATGATGCCCATAGGCATGATTGATTGTGAGGGCTTTCATGAGCTAATAGCCTCCATCATGCTAAGTTTGAACATGATGTTGATTTTTATCTTTGATTTTATTTGCACTGTGTAGCACTTTGAGATTTTTGTTAATGAAAAGTGCGGTACAAATTGGATTTATTATTATTATTATTATTATTATTATTATTATTATTATTAATATTATTATTTTCTCCCACTGATTCTCCCATCTCCATTCATTCCTCATTGAGACTAAGTGGCAATTAAATATAGACAATCTAGTTGATCCGTTATTGCATTTCAACTTTCATTTACAAATCCTTTATGAAATAGCATTTTGTTTTTGCTTTGCCTGCTCCATCTCCTTTTTCCTTCTGGTCTCTGAGCACTTTGGAAACCAGTTTAACCAGAATAACGCTTTTAAATGTGGGATTAGGAAAGTATTTATAATCTGATTTAGGAATTTGTTTTTAAAATTGCAATTCAGAAATAGGATTTGAAAACACATTTTGTATTTCCAGTATTTAATAATGGATTAATAAATACAATTGACAATTCTTCTTTAATAAGTACATTTAAAATGTGCAATCAGAAAATCCTTTTCAAGTTGCATGATTTAAATGTTAATGTTGGTCCTCCATTATTAAAGGATGACAGTATATCTGAGCAAAGCACTGTGTCTTTAAATGTTAGTTTAACATCTCTTTTTTTTTTTTTTATTTTGTAAGGACCCTATTGATAGCTTAGGAAATGTGTTTTCAAGAAAATGACAGCTTATCAATTAATAGTTGGTTGATTGTTAAGAATAATCAACGTTAAATTCGGTATTTAATATCTTGAGTTCCTCATACGTTTCTGTTAATGTTCTGCAAACAAGCGGCACATTAATGCATTCTTCAGCAGCAAGACTTATAAGACATGTTGATATAAGGTTTACGTCTGGCTTCTTTAAACACTGGAATAAATGTCTGCCTGTTTTTGTTTTTTCATCTACTTAAGGATTTATGTTTGTCTGTTTTGTTTTATTTATTAATATTGACTAAATTTGACTGAAATGAAGATGGCAATATATATATATATATATATATATATATATATATATATTGTTTTTCATGTGTTGAGCGCCATCTGTTGGACACTTTTGTAATAGCTCAGGATTTCTCTGCACCGCAGCATAGAAAGGTTCTTAAGGCTGATGTTGTCAAATGCTGTTATATTTGTATAAAGCAAGCAACTTTTAGACAACCATTTAGCATAAGTATCACTCTATTTTGGTCCTTATAGGGAAATTAGCTTCAGATATAATCACCTAATCACCAAAGCTCAATTAGTAAAGATAACAAAACGGAAAAGAATGGGACAAATATCAGCTACCACAGTCAAACTAAATTCTTAAAGGAACTATGATATTATGAAGTGAGTGATAAAACAGATAAACACATAATCTATGTCTAGTTTGTCAGAGCTAATCAGCTTATTGTTTGGTAATCCATATCTTCTAATATAGCCCCCTTCAATTTTTTTTTTATTCAAAACGTGAGATATGGTGCTTTGTAAGACGGAGTATTAGGGCCTGGCTAGAGATTTTTTTTTTCTATTTGGAGAATAAACTCATAAAATTACGAGAATAAAGTCACAAGAAGAATAAAGTCATAGCATTATGAGAATAAAGCAATAAAATTCCAAGAGAAAAGTTGTAACATTACGAGAATAAAGTCATAAAATTCCGAGAATAATGTCGTAACTAGGGGTGTAAATCACATCCATCATGGCGATTCGATTCAGTATCGATTTCCTGACCCAACTATTCGATTATTTTCGATACTCAAGAATAAACCACGATAGTATTCGATTCGATTAATTGGTTCATTTTATTTTATTTTTTTACACCTTACAGGCTAGACAATGTTTTAAATTTGAAATAAATCAATGAAAACTGTAATATCGTTATGCATTTTTTTTAGCAACAACAGCAAATAACAGAAGTAGAAAAGTTGCATCGAAAAATACTGCAAAAATACTGCAGAAAAAAAGTGCAATGAGTGCAATTCAATACCTCGGCTCCAGACGTCCCCGCCCCTCCACAGACACTGCACCTCTCCCAAATTGTAGCTGACCGAAAACAGTGCCGCAGACAGGAGGCCGGCTTGTTTTGTTTTTATGGCCGAAATTGCAGAAAACAAGTTGTGAAGTTTGACCCGCTAGAAGAGCGAGGTGCGCGAGAACGCTGGGACCATTTTCCACCTGGATCTCAGCTCTTTGTGGTCCTCATGTCCCTCCGTCGTCGGACTAAACTCGCCCCCACTGCCTCCCCGCCTCAGTTGTATCTAGACCCAAAGGTATATTGAGCATAAATCAAAAATGTCTGTGTCAAGCTCACTGCAACAAACTGCTGTAAGAGTATAACCAGGAAGCGAGGTAGGAGGGCAAAATGGGTTTAGTGCCACCGCAGCACAGGAGGGAGAATTACGCCCAGGAGCAAATGGATAAAAAATAGACCGGAGGAAAAAAATGCATGAATCGATTCTCTTGCGGACGTATCGGATCGTCGGCTGTTGGATCAATGCATCGATACAAAACCATTATTATTTACACCCCTAGTCGTTACATTACGAGAATAAAGTCGTCATTCTCGTAATATTACAATTTTTTTCTCGTTATGATTTTATTCCTGTAATAATAAAACTTTTTTTCTCGTAATGTTGCGACTTTATTCTCAAAATAATAAAAAAAATAGTCTGGCCTTAATACTCCGTCGTAGCTTTGGTTCCCTTCAAGAAGAGGTTTATAAAAGTTGATACAATGAACATTTTCCTCTTAAATCACGTAGATCTGTTTGCTGCACTCTCACACAGAATCAATGTTGACCTGGGAATTTGAAATTGATTTATCATTTTTAACCTTCAAAGCCTGTACCATCACATAATTGGTTAAAAAATAGGTTTTTAATTAGAGTCATTGAACTGTAACAAATGAAATAAAAAAATATACATTTTGTTTAAGTTAAATTAGATCGTTATTTGCATCAGTTTTGACACATTAGGCATTTCTTTATAGCCACCTATACGTTTTCTATACACTATGTGTGTCTGAGTGTATGAGTCAAGGTTTTCAAGAACAAATATATCACACTAATGATTGAGATATATCAAAAGCTCCTCTATCCAATATGGCTCTAAAGGGTTAAAGGGATCCACAAATGATCATCTCTGCCAGTAATGCACAGCTTGACTCAACTTGGGGAAACCTTTATAGAGATTTGGACAATAAAAAAAAAAAACATTTGGATAATAACTTTTGAAAATAACTCCCAACAAAATGGATTGGTTCTAATATCGGGCAATAAAATGTTAATTGCTCTTTGTCGTCTGTAGGAGGAGGCAAGGAGAGTGGCCCTGAAGCAAAGAGCAGAGCAAAGTGCCCACACCGAGACGCTGGGATGGGAGGAGGAAGAGGAGGGTATGCAGCACCGTTCAGAAAATGTCTGCTTTACCATAAAACCTTAACTGACTCTGCTCATTGTTTTCTGATCATATTTCAGATGATTTTGTTGGAGCCACCTCACCATCCCATCTCAACCTTAAACCCCCACCAGACAGCACCCCCCCAGCTCCCACAGAGACGTCCTTGATGAGTCCGGTCCTCTCTCCAAGCGACGAGCCCAACTCCACCCTCTCAGTCAGCAGCGACAGCGTCAGCCTCCCGACGCAGGTGGAGTTGCAGCCTCCTGCGGTTTCCGTAGAGCTCACCAAGAAACTGAATGAAGCAACGTTGGAGGATGTTGTTGAGAAAAAACTAGAAGAGCAGAAACCTGGAAAGATTGACTCTCCCCCTGAGGCCCAGGTGGAACCAGCCAATGTGGTTCCGGTGCGAGGCGCTGGTACCAAACAACCAGACGTTATAAAAGAGGATGGGCCACAAGACCTGAGAGTGTTTGAGCTCAACTCTGACAGCGGAAAGTCGACGCCCTCCAACAATGGCAAGAAAGGTGAAATGTTACTGTTGGCAGAATCTTCATACAAAGAAAGCATAGAGTTGGTTAAGAAGCAGAAAATAAAAACATCTCTTCTTCTTTTTCCAGGGTCCAGCACAGATGTGAGTGAGGGCTGGGAGAAGGATTTTGACCTGGACATGACAGAAGAAGAAGTCCAATTGGCTCTGTCTAAAATACAGGATTCTGGAGAGGTAGGTGTTTCTACATCCTGCAAGACGATAGTCAGGGTTTTTAAATTAGGGCCTTAAATTTCATTAAAAATGATTATCGGTGACATTTAAAATGCTTTATTTAAATAAAAAAGAAAGATACGTTTAGAAAAATTTTTTGTCAGATATATCATTATATATTTGTACGGAACTGCTTCCGGTTGATCGTAAAGCCGTATATTCGGGAAAGGAGGTCGAGGCGGAGAAAAAGGTAGAGAATGAGAATATGCAAATTCAACAAAGGTGGCTGGAAAAGAGGAATTCAGGACATGGCTGCAGCCTGTCGACAGAAAAGATGATGGATTATGCTGTTTTATTTTTATATATCTATATCTATATATAGATATATATAGATATAGATATATAGATGCATACAGAAATGTAAACATGAAAGGTACAAATACATAGCGTTGAAGAAATAAATAGGGTACTTAAAAAGAAAGTAATTAAGAAATGAAGTTGAAGATAATAACGGACCATAAATAAATAAGGTAATTATTACAAAGGTGAATAAATAAAGAAGCTAATTAAAAGAGATATATATACATTTATGTCTCACTGTGTAATTTAATGTCTACCTACATTTATTTGTTTCTTGTATTTTTGGGGGCAATTAATTGTATGCTTATTTATTTATTTATTGAGCATTCATTTCAGTTTTTTTTTAATATGCTAGAGCTGGTCCTCCATACATGGATACTTCTTAATTTCAATAAAATAATTTCTAAGAGCATTAAAAAAAGAGCATTAAAAAGCATGACATTAGAGTAACTCATTCCTGTATAAACCCTGATAATAACTTTATGCAGACACACACAGCTGCTACATGAAACTTTTTCACATTTTATCACAATATAGCTACAAACTCTAAATCATATTAGTGGGATTTTTGGCCCATTTTTTCTTTCATTCTAGCTGTGAGATTTTGCTGTCGATTCATTGCCTACTTTGCCAAAAATCATTTGCAAACAAAAACCAATGCACAGATTTTGAAAACTTCCCACAATATAGTTTGAATGGTGCGATATTATAGTTAAACATTTCACCTTTTTTTTTCACGCTATATTTTTAATCGTTGCACGTAGCTACAGCTCAAACTGTACAATGAAATCACAGGGTTTAAAAGTTCACAGCTTACGATGTGATGCGATCTACCTGCTCATACTGCACAGATAAAAAACAATCCGTCGGACTTGGCGCTGAGAGATGGCGCTGATCGGCTTGTCAATCTGAAAGAAGAAGAAGAACTTCCTTTTTTACACACGTGCGTTGCTCAAGGTTCTCGTAAATCGTATCGTAGCTCTGCTTCAACAGCAGGATTTGTTCACGACCACTTTACGACGGCTAACTGAATTTCAAACGTTTGATTTTCTGCCGACCTTACAATTCCTGATCGGGAGGTGGTCGTGAAAGGCTGATCGCCCCTCGTTACTCCCTGTACACCACATGATGCAGGACGCATGATGAGGCTGATCAAAAAAATTCCCGCATGTCTTAAAAATCGACCTGAAAAACCCATAATACAAAAAAAACATTACGAGAAACAAACAATTTAGTGTTTAAAAGCAGTTATAATAGAGGAAAATAAAATAAATAGTAAAATATTGAGATAATTAGATGAGTAGGTCATAAAAGTGAATTCAGGATTTTAAAAAACAAGCAGCAAAATGCTGCTTATGTTCAAATTTTCTGCCTCTATTCTGCCAACCTGGAGGAAATCATTCAGGCTAGGACTGTAAAGGAATGTCCAGAATTATATTTATATTCAGTTCAATAAATGTTCATATGTAAGATTGAATCTGTTTTTTCTAACCTCCCCTCCTTCCTCTCTTGCAGTTGGATGAAGACTGGGAGAACTGGGAGTGAGGGTCTTGCTGCCAAAGCAGGTCTCGGCAGATAAACCATGCTTCTCGTGTTTTAACTCTTTCTTTCCACTCTGTCACCATGTCATGATTGGGGGGGAGGGTGTGTGTGTGTGTGTGTGTGTGGCTAGTTTGGATCATGTGGTAATCCTGTTGAAAAAATGAACACGATGAACTCCGTCGGCAGTGAGAACCGGACTGCTTCATCAGCCGTCAGAGCAGATCAACCTGTAGAGATGGTTTCTGATCGTCCATTTAGGGCGCTTATGACACTACTATACGGCAGGCTGCATTTCTTCTGGCCTTGAAGCTAATCAGAATGTTAGATGCTGCAGCAGCACAGAGTTGGTTTTTTTTTCTCTTATCCCATTAAATACATCTCATGTTGCAAGTCTTAAAGGTATGCCATAAACTTTAGTGCTGCTTGTCTCCTTTCTAAGATGAAAGCGATCAATGAATGGTGTCCTTGTCTTTCCTAATTTTTTTCATCCTTTTCAAACAAGCAAAACCAGGAAATTGGAAAAAAGAAAATACTCTGGCCTTCTTTTCATTTTGGATTCCTCCTGACTTTGGTCGTAAGTCCTTGCAGAAAACATCCAAATGTCTCCCTCACTGGTTCGCTTCTCTTTGATATTTATTTCCGCCTGCTGCCCTTTATGTTAGAATGTTGTTTTCAAACACGTCTTGTCTTATTAGAGGGGACTCGTTTATCATTGGTCGCATTTGAAGATGGCAAATTTATACTGCTATGATAGCCGATCCTTGAGTTTATCCTTGAGTCTATTTGCTTTTTCCATAAAGGATAGTTTATGTTTCTCTGTTGGTTGGAACGGCTAAGCGGATGGTGTGCCAAGCAGACCAAGAAGCAATCTTAGCACACTCCAAGCTTTTCTTTTTCACTTGTGTCTGAGAAAAGTAAGCCTAGAGGTGTAATATTTATACTGGAATAAATGCTTAATTATTGTAATTATCTGCTTTTGATTGCATGTCTGTGCAATGACATTATGCAAAAGATTGTACAGATGGTAACCGTTGAGTTGTATGAGTTTTTGTTTGTTGTTTTTAGGCTGTTATTCAAATCTTTGTTGCATGTCTGTAATTTTCAGCTGTGTACTTTCCTGAGTTGGAGCTAATTAGCTGTTCTGCAGACATCCATCTTTATAGCTGTCAGGATCTTTTGCAAACAACTTCAGTCAATCTCTCAAATAATTATTATCATTAAAAAAATCATGCCTACTATAATTTTGTGTCATGAATTGCATACTTCTGTTTCGATAGTGGGGCGTCTTGTGTGGATGTAAACCACTACTGCATCCCGTTATCAAACACAACACAAAATATTTGGTTAATGGAGAGGAGAGTGAAGAGTAACTAATCAGTTTCTGAAATTTGGCTAAATGACACCTTTATATGTTTGTTTTTACTCCTGTTTCAATCGAACGCTGTCCCAAATAGTTTAGGCAAATGTACTTTGGGGTTTTCTTTAATGGAATAAAGTAATTTCAAGCCATTTTTATAGGCATACGTCATTTTAGTGTTATCAGGGTACTGTTTAATCAGTCTAAATGCTTTGTAGAATTAGAGAAGTGAGTTGGTACTGTCCAGAGTGCTTAAAGGAAAAGTCTGTACTGCAAGGAATAACCAATGGATCATTATCTATACCTGAAAGTAATACTCACGGTGAATTAATGAATTTAGCATTAATCAGAAAAAAAATTGATAATTTTCTTTGCGATCACTGAGGCTGGGAATGGCCATTTTTGACCAAATATAGCAGAGGTCATGGATTAGTGAACCTTGGTCTGGATCAGGACCCACCCACCTGGCTATTTCAAACCCAACCTGATTTAAAATATTTTATTTTTTACTGCATTTTGTCAGACGACAGTGTCTTATTTCACTTGCCCCGCTTCTCCTGTTAATATGGTAAAGCCCTCCGGAGCACCAGGTACCTGTGATGCCTATCAGCCAATGAGCTGCTGTCAGTCTGGGTTGCTGTTGCTGCTACTTGTAGACACAGCAGGCAAACCTGTGGCAAGCCGGGCGATGAGAAAGAAGAAGACTATGAGAAAAGGAGAACAGAGAAAGTGTGGACTGCTGGAAGTAGCGTGGGGAACTAGTGAAAGAAAAGTGAAAGCTCAAAGCTGACCCTGCACATTTTGAGTATGTTTGGCTCAACCGGCTGTGAAGCAGGATTCTCCACCATGAACAGAATCAAAAATAAATATAGATCCAGGCTCACGAATGAGCACCTTGATATGTGCTTTAGAATGGCTTAGTCTCCATTCAAACCCAGGTTTAAAGCCTTGCAGGGCAGCATAAAGCCCACTGCTCTCATTAAGCCAGAAAAAAAATAACAAAAGGGTCATTTTAGGTGTTTTATAAAATATGTGAATCAAGAAATTGTCTATATACCAAACTGAAAAATTGTTCTCTACTTCGAAAAAAATACATTTTAAATGTTCTATGTTTTTTAAATATTTTTCCTATTTAAAAATTCGATGTTTAACATGGACGCATAAAAACCTAATTTTATTTAAGTGTTAAATTCTGTTTAAAGTAAGTTAGAAAATAAACAGCTCATTCCTGACCTCTTCTGGCAGTGACGTCACGGTGCCAACAGTTTGCCAACTTGAAGATATATATATTTTATTTTATTTTTTGCATGCATTACTAGACATATAATATGTAATTACCATAACGATGTAATAAGTACATGTATATTACATGTGCATAATAAATTTAGCACTTTGGCACATAAGTATTATTATGCTTCTTTAACACATTCATTTTATTGTGATGGATTTGTATAATATCTTTTATTACATGATTTAGAGACTTCATTGACTTCATAATGACTATACAATGTTATGTGCTTATTTTCTTTATTATAAGTTAAAGTAATCTACTCATGCAATGAATCAGCAAGTCTGTCAAAGTGATGAATTTATCTTTATTTTAAAAGTCTTAAGTCCCCTTGAAAATGAGAACGTCATTGTTGCTCAATGCTGTAGCGCACATATGGTTTACATTAGGACCAGTCTAACTAGGGAGTACCAATATGGCGGCCGGTGGATTCACTTCAACCCTCTACTACTACCAACAGGCAATCAACAATCCAGTGAATAAATAGTGATCAGTGATAATTACTAGTTGATAAAATGGTGTAATGCTGAAGCCAAACACCAGGTGGTGCTGTTGCTCCATGCAGTGACCCTCAGGCATAACTTGCCACTCCTTTTCTTTCAGCTGCAGCATCCATTTCATCTCTCATTAAGCACAAGGTTTCTCTCACATAAATTGTTGTTCTAGTGTCTACATTTCTACAAGGAATTATCTCATGATTTACTGTTGGTCGCTGTATCAAGTGACAAACATGAAAAGTGTTGAGAGGGGGAGCATTTGGAGGCATCTGATCAGTAAGATGTAGGTCACAATGGTGAGGCACCTGTGCAGGAGGCTGCTTCTGCAACATGGAAGCTGCTGGTAGAAATGGTTACTGTTTCAGCATGTCAGGCTGGGGTGTTTGCTTTTCTCTATGAATATTGGTATGGAATATTGGAATGTAAAGCCTAAAAAAAAAAAAAACAATATAACCCAAAGTAAACAGCATTTTTTATCACCTATACAACTGCAGATAACACTGCTGGCTTTACATCTGGTCCAGATAGTCAATGACACCAGAGGCTAAACTCTCTTGTTATAGTAGCTGGTTGTTCACAAAGGGATGTCTCCAAGCATTTTAATGGAAAGCTGAGTGAAAGGAAAAAAATATGTAAAAGAATATGAGTTTCACTTTTTACATCGGAGTACATAAACATCTCAATTATGTTAAATGTATTCATCTCTCTAGATAAAAAAAATAAATAAGAAAACAAGGATTTGGTCTAACTGCAATAGCTCTGATTTGAAATCCAAAACCTTTGGACCTTTTAAATTCAATTCAGTTCAGTTTATTTATATAGCACCA